TATATATATATATATATATATATCACATGTTTAGCAGAAATTGATAATTAAAATTGTGTGCTAATTATAAGTATGATGTTTGTTTTACTTAAAAAAGTTGTGTTTCCACCTTATTCTCACATTTTCATTCCATATAATTTCAAGTTTTTGACTTTAGCACACCATTTTTGAAGGTCTAATGGTAATAAATAAGTAAAACAAGAAGGGGAACCTGGTTTGTAGCAGATGAAACAAGTATATTCAAACTATGGAATATTCAACGATAATGAATTAACTATTTAACCTACTTATAAACGAAAAAAAAAAAATACAAGACAAAACATCTTCATGTGAAAAGATTCATGGGATAAAACCTGTCATTTCCACATAAATTGACTAACTTTTTCATTTTGATGTGTGTTTATGTATAAAATAAGATACTTCAGGGTTGTTTAGTTGGGAAACAAGTTATCTCATGATTAATTATCTCGTAATTAATTATTCTATTTTTTGTGGGAATAAAAAATACTAAATCTCGGGATAACTAATCCCAAAATTAGTTATACCAAATTTTATCTCAACCAATATGAAATTAATTATCTCAAATTTAATTCCAAAATTAACGTGGAGTATTAGAGGTACTTGTACCTAATCAGTGTGATTTCCTTTACAAACTGTCTCTGCAGCCTGCATGAGAACTACGAAGAGTACAATTTTTATCCTCCCTTTTAATTAGTTTAACTCTAAAGCAAATGAGTGACAAGTGTAAAGAGATTGAGAAAATACTAGTAGTAATTATGTTTGGGTATACTAATTTTTGCTTCCATTGCCTATTCTATTTAGTATATAATCTCATGGTTACTTCACTACGGTATTCTATATCCTAATGACAATATAATTATCTAATATTTACCATGAAAATTAAGATTAATGAATTTCTTGAACAAGAATTAAATAAAACTCATAGAAGCATTATTAATCGAAATTGAGACTGATTACAAGTTAGTAGAATTCATTTAGAACATATTTTAAGATTACCATATTAATTCAATCATGTTTTGTGAACAAATAGTTGAGATAGGAAACGAGTCCAATGAGTTGTTCTAGAACCGTAATTTTTTATATGACTTTAAATATTCTAAATTATTATGATCTGTAGTATTTTAAGTAGTTTTAAATATATTCGAAAAATTTAAAGATTTTATATTCAAATATCTGAGGAAAATAAAAAAATTGTTATTATTGAAATAGAGAGTATTATTTTGAGCTTCCACAAATAATAACAAAAGTAAACGCACACTTCTCTCTCTCTCTCACACACACACACACAGTCCTGTCTCCCTTTCTATTTCTCTCTCTTTTTCCAATCTAATCATACAAATTCAAGGGTTTTATGATCCATTTGCCTTCACATTGAGAGAGGGGGAAAAAGAGAATTCTTGGAGCTTCAATTGTTTGACCCTTTATTTGTTCTTTAAAAAGCTGAGTTTTTTAATGCATACCCATATGGTTTTTATGAGAATTTGAAGATCAAGAATCTGCAATTTCCATGTTTTATTGTTATTTAAGAGCTAAATTTTTGTGGGTCGTGAAGATAATGCATTAAATCTTGAAATTTTCTTGCAAAGATTTGAGCTTTGCAATGGGATTATTGGTTCTGCATTGGAATTATCTAATTTTGGGGGTTCTTTAAATAAATTTAGCAGGAAAAGAGCTTTCTTTTATTGTGTATTTTTGGCAATGGATACAAAAAATAAAGAATTTAAAGGGGAGAAAAATAAGTATGTAGATAGTGTGGAAGCTTCTAAAGATGAGGATGATGAGTCTAAAGCATTGTTGTTGCCTTGTAAAAAAGGCGGGCTGTCAAAAAATAAAGGCAAACCAAAGAGGAAAGTGCAGTGGAATGATACAAATGGGAATAAACTTACTGAGGTTTTGGAATTTCAGCCAAGGTAAATTTTTTTTGATCCAATTCTCCTCATTCAGCTATTATTTGGCTTCTAGCTGCTAACTTATACTAGTTAATAATATAGAAGTTTTGGTCCATAAGATTTGTTTCGAAGTTTAAGTTTCCTCTGATTATATGTGAATTGTATTGGTTGTTCATCAAGGAGATGCATCCTATAAGTTCCATATTTTACACAGTCGATCACAAGGGAGTCTTGGCGTGACTGGAGGTCACTGGTTCGAGCCGCGAAACAGCCTATTGCAGAAATGCAGTGTTAGGTTGTACAATAGACGCTTGTGGTCCGGCCTTTCCCCGAACCCGGCACATAGCGGGAGCTTAGTGCCCCGGGCTGCCCTTTATTTTACACAGTCGATCACTAGAATAAATGTGGCAAATGAATAAACTTCAGTAGAACTATTTATGGTATACTAGTACTTAAATCTTTACAAAAAAGATGGTATAGTGGCTTAGTCTGGTAGATTTTTTGACTTATCAAAAAATAAAAAGAAATTAACTTAAGTGTGGTATTTCGTTTATGTCAAATGTCAAATTTGAAACACGGTACTAAGTGACTTATATGTAGCCTGTGTCTGCGTATCTGTTTGATGATAAGCAGATTGAGTGAGTGAGTTGCAGCTGTAGACTGCCTATCGGTGATGCTATTGTGCTTGGCATATATGAATATAAGCAGCAAAATATAGCCTGTTATTATTAGTTCCCAAGGGGATGACAGAGTAGTTGAGGCACAGTAGTAACAACCTGGAGATTCCATGTTCGAATTCCAGCTAGGACACTTAACCTGAACTCATATGCTCCAACTTTGGTGGGCATGTTTACCCAGAACCTGTGATTGTGGACAGTTGCAAGCTACTTGGTGGATTAGTCGAGGTGTGCCAAACTGGCAATGACACCACCGTCGTCCAAAAAATGAAAGGCATGTGATAATTAGATTTCCTAAACTAATAGCTGATAAACTGCTAGGCTTTAATGGTGCATGTTCTAATCCTGGCTCCATTACTGGCATGATCTTGTCAAAACCTACAAGCTTCACTGTTAGCATTGGGCAACGTAACAATTATATGCTCAACCTAACAATTATATTTAATAATTTCATAGTAAAGTGTATTAGTGGCAACTCCCCCTACTTAGGAGCACTCCAATTTGAGCAATATAGGCATTTAATGAGCTGTCAGTACTCGTTTAGTTTTAACTTGCTCATCTATTCTATTCATTATAGGTTTCTCAAACATCTAAAGACCCTTGCAGAAGCAAGTACTAGTGTAGACTTTAAAAAATCTTGGTCTAAGAAATATGTGTGCTTCTCGAGAAGAGAAGTAGGATTAACAACTTAGGAGAGGTGAAGCCTTTTCTAATGTTATGACTTATCGACAATACTATTGCATAGAGCCATCTACTTGGAACTGTGTGTCTCTACAGTTTGCTTTTGTACGTCATCACAATAAAATTGAGCAGCAAAGTATATGTGTACAACAACAACAACAACCCAGTAAAAATCAGACAAGTGGGGTCGGGGAGGGTAAAGTATACGCAGACCTTACCCACCCCGGAAGGGTAGAGAGGCTGTTTCCGAAAGACCCTCGGCTCAAGAAGAAAGAAATAAACAATAGACAATAGATTAGTGACAACAATAGAAGCCAGAAAAATAAAATAATATCAGCATAAACAGAAAATAAATGTAAAAGCAATAACAGTAACCAATACTAATGCCATAGAAAATAGTGTGGAAGCTACATAAACCACTAACAACCCAAGGCGAAACATTATCAGCCTAGTACCGCTCCCGGAAACAACGTAGAAAAACGCCCGACTCCCTCCTAACCTACAACCCTAATGCTCGACCTCCACACCTTCCTATCCAGAGCTATGTCCTCGGAGATCTGAAGTAGCGACATGTCCTGCCTGATCACCTCACCCCAATACTTCTTAGGCTGCCCTCTACCTCTCCTCATACATGCAAATGATAACCCCTCACACCTCCTAATCGGGGCATTTATGCTTCTTCTCCGCACATGCCCGAACCATTGAAGCCTCGCTTCCCGCATCTCGTCGTCCATGGGAGCCACTCCCATCCTATGTTGCTCGGACTTTTCGAAAATGTGGTAGGATACATGTCGGATCCTCCAAAAGTAGTGCATTTTTGAAGGACCCGACACGGGTGCGGCTACATTTTGGAGAGTCCCCGCAACATAGCTCCCACCTTCTCCCGAAAATCTTTATTCCTAATCTTATCCAACCTAGTGTGCCCGCACATCCATCTCAACATCCTCGTTTCTGCCACTTTCATCTTCTGGGTATGGGAATTCTTGGCTGCCCAACATTCCGTCCCATACATCATGCTGGTCTAACCACCGCTCTATAGAACTTGCCTTTAAGTTTCTGTGGCACTTTCTTGTCACACAGGACTCCAGTAGAGCATATGTGTTGACAAAATTTCAGCAACCAACATGATATTTTGATTGATTTTGAAGGTGTTGTATTATTAGTAAGGTGACTATAGTTGGACTCTTTCTGATCTTCAGTACCAATGCCTCCAGATTTAATTTGACATATGAACTAGGAGGTCCAATACTTCCTCTAGGAGGATTGAGCTATGAAAAGGAAGGGTAGAAAGATTTACAGAGTGAAAGAGGAGTCATAAACTTATTTTCTCTTTTTTTTTTTTTTTTTTTTTTTTTTTTTTTTTTTTTTTTTTTTTTTTTTTTTTTTTTTTTTTTTTTTTTTTTTTTTTTTTTTTTTTTTTTTTTTTTTTTTTTTTTTTTTTTTTTTTTTTTTTTTTTTTTTTTTTTTTTTTTTGTGTGTGTGTCAGTATATGGGAAGTTCCTCCATGTTAGCTTTTTCCACCCTTTTGGACAGAGGAGAAAGTAAATCACTTCCATTTCTCTAAGCAAATGATAGATACTTCACTCGAGGGAACCAAACAGATTGTAAGGCGTTTTAACACAGTGGGAGCAATGCTTCTCTCTTCTTTAACAGCACTGCTATCGCTTATAGGTCGTTTGGTAGAGTGCATTAGAGAAAATAATGCATGCATTAGCTTTGTGTATTAGTAATACCTTGTTTAGTACACTTTTCAACCTATGTATAACTCATACAAGTATTAGTTACACCTCCTATTTGGTATTATCCTATGTATAGCTAATGCATAGAAAACCATATTATTAATAATACTAAAGACTATTAATGCATGCATTAGCATAATTAAAGATAAAATTATCGTTAAAGTCCCTTAAAACTAAAGAATATAAATGACATTTTTGTAAACAACTAATTTTTTTAAAAATTATGCAATGCATTTTAGTTTTTAATACACCACACCAAACAGTGTATAAAAAATAATCTCTGCATAACTAATACTTGCATTACTAACACATGCATTACTAATACACCTTATTCAGCATTATTGTTATACACCCTACCAAACGACCCCTTACTGTGGTCATCTTGAGTGTGAGGAAAAATAACCGCAGTTTCCTTTGATCTGGAGAAATGAGATAAGAGATACCAGAGTTTGGTTGAAGCCTGGTTTATAATTAAGGTAGCTTGTTACTGATAGAAAAAATGAATTAAGATAGCTTGCTTCGTGGGTTCTAATTGACACTTTTTCACTTGTGCTTTCTATTAAAGTTGCTAGTTTTCTGAAATTTTCTTGTCTGACTTTGCACATCTATTAAGAGTAAACTTATGTTGACTGGGGATGATAAATGGGGCTGATGATTCTTTCTTCCACCACAGTTTTGACCCCGCCTTTGCTTACATGTTTAACATAATCCCCTATTTACACCCAGCCCACCCCCACCCCTCTTACTTATTTTTCTTTTTAAAACTTTTTCATTTCAGTTTGCTTCTTTTTCTTTTTCATATTTTGTCCTCTTAATTATAGTAATCTTGTTAACTCTAACAACTAGATGCACATGAAGATAATGGCTTTAATCTTATGCATACTGATATAATAAAAAATAAATATACATGGCAATGCAAATAATTTCCTACAAAACCATGAGTATGATAGCTAGCAACAACCATATAGGATTAAAATATCCCTGTAAAAATTCTCCACTATTTTCCCAGAATATTTACAATGTAAAACCATAACATTCCCAATCTGGAGGTTACCTAAAAACGAAATATGCTAACTAGTTTTTCCTTTTTCTTTCGCTCCTTTCGAAGAAAACCAATCATCTGGGAAATCACATCGTAGAGGCTTCAACATCCGGCCAAATCCCCATCTAATATGTTTAAAATTATGCATCTTAGCAAACTAGTCATTGATATTCACTACAAGGTTGAAGTGTCAAAGCCCTTTCCTCAGGCGAAAGCTGTCCCTATACTACCAATTAAATTATCTAAAAGCATCATAAGCAGTAAACTTAGTTATAAATTAACTTCTATTATATCAAAGGTCCTGCCTGCAAAAAACAAAGCTCACGTAATAAAGATTTAGAAGTCCCAGTAGAATAATCCTGAATACTAACCAACAAGGGTTGTGGTGGAGTGGTAAGTACTCCTTCATCCTTAACCAGAGGTCTCGAGTTCGNGGTGAGAAATCAAAAAAAATAAATCCTGAATACTCAACCCCAACCCTGAACAATATCTCTTTTTCCAAAGCTTCAAGAAAATACACTAAATCCAACAATGAAGAATACAGACATTTCATAAACTAACTAATATTAACCAGGCAGAACACAAAACTACAGAAACCCATTACATCTTTCTGTCGTCGTAGATTAGAAGTGGTTATATCGGAGGCATCGAGACACCTGAGGCTCCCTGCCGTTTTTGTCGTTGTAGGTTAAAGTGGTTATATCATAGGTCCTGCCTGTCTGCCTAAGCACTGCCCTTCCCCACCTTGCCCCATTACCATCCATAATGGAAACACATAATCCTCGTAATTTGATGTTTAAATTTTATATGGAAAAGGGCAAAAGCTAATTGACGAAAAGTGATTCTCACGTGACTATTTGGCTCTATATAATAAAGGGTAGAATTTCAAATGGAATCTCTACCTCATCCCAGTATAAGCATATTGTTCTAAAATGAAATTTCTGCCCCTTCCGGTTCAGAAAGGGTAGAAGTTCCACTTTAAAACAATATGATTATACTGGGATGAGGGAGACATTCCATTTGTAATCTAGTGATAGCTTTCCTTCCAAATGGTGATAGTTATATAGTTGAGTACCTATGCTTATAGTATAAATTAACAATTGTCCTTGGACTTCCATGCTCTGAGTCATTACCAATTTCATAATTATTGTGAGATTATAAAGGTCCTACTGAACTAGTTTCTGTGGTGTCATATGATACATCATAAAGATGTATATTGCCCAACACTCGGATTAAGATGAGACAATGATTATCCAAAAAAAAAACACTAAACTAGAAAGAATCTCACTTTCATAATAAATTTGACTTTAATGGTTTACATCCAGAACAAGTGTAGATATTGAATTCTTGTTCTGTTTATGTTTTGTCATTGTTGGCAATCTGGCACTTGCAGTTACAGGACACTGCTCGATATAGTTTGTGAATGTTTGTTTTTTTCTCTATTTAGTTCATTAAAAAGACAACATGTGTTTACTTTTACCCCGCAGCTGTGGAATGTGTAATGGATTAGTTCTGAAATTTGGAATTATATGCAATGTTTTTAGTAGATGACTAAACTATAGCTTGTTTGGATTGCTCTAATGTATAAATTTTTGTTTGTTTTGCAGTGATGTCAGTGACTCAGATGACGATGAATCAGATTCTTGCATTTGTAGAATAATGTAGTTCTCAGTGAATGCACTACCAAACCAGTTGTCCTTTGACTTAATACAGGGTGAATCAACGCGTTGAATCTCCTTGATTCACATCTTATATAGCCTTCAATAACAGCAGTTTGTTAAAGAGAGTCAACTGTCTCTAATTTTGGTTCAAGTTATCTGGCACCTCGAGCCAAATGAACCGACACTTTCCTTTGTACACAATCAGATAGAGAGAATGACTTCCTCTGTTGTATGTATCATACAGAACCTTCGGGTTTTTCTTGTCTTCTTTTGCTCAAAATGTAATGTATATGAGTACTGAAGCTTACATCTGATGATGGTGATCTAGCATATAGCTGGATTCATAACAAGATTTGGTTTTGTAACAAACAACTTTCTTCATTTGTCTGCTACTTTGTTTTGTAAAGAGTATTGAATTACAACATACATATGTTCTCAACCAAATACAAGGCTCCACAAATGGAATTTTATGTCCCCCAAATTTATCTAGAAAAGAATACAACACAACTGCACTCACAAATCATGTACTACTGTCCAAACATAAAGACAAACAATACTTTACACAAACATCAATCCAAATGTATTTAGGCCATTCTCTGCACTTTCTTTGTTTATATGGTATTGAATTCATCAATCACAACTTGATGATCTTTAGCTCTATCTTCAATATAATACACAGCCGAGCGATTTACCGATGCTGCTCCTTGTGAAACCAGCCAGTTTGAGAGACTCGCATCAACTGGAATTTCATGCCCCCGAGTCTTAGGCTTAGAGTTTTCTTTGGGGTTTAGGTCTGCACAATTGATTACTGGCTTTTTAAGCAAAGGTATTTCTTGTTTTCCATCAGATTTGTTAATGTTTTCCTTCTGATGCTTCACTTGCTGTGCTCCTTTAGCTTTAACTGCTTTCCATTGAGTGAGATTTTCAACTGGAAGTAGCACAGAATTTCCATACAAATTCCTATGATCTTTACCTACTTCATTTGTTTCATCTTTGTTCAGCCTTTTATCATTTTCAAACTTGTCTTCTGTCTCGTCGTCACCATCTTCATTGTCATCATCATCATCATCGCTAATGCCATAGTCTTCTTCATCAAGATCATCGATATCACTTTCCTCAAGTGTTATCTCGTCTTCTTCCTCGTCGTTGCAGTTATAGTATCGATAACTTGAAGGGTACATAGACATACTTGATTTTGCGGTTTCTTGTTCATTGTATTCACATTGTGTCTTCTCCTCTTCATCTGAGAAATATGTTGTATTGTTGTCATCATCTTGGATTCGCTCATATGCCTTGACATTCAAATTGAAGCTCACTTTCTTTTTTACCTTAGGTTTTGATGATTCTTTAGGCTTATCCCTGCATGAAAACCAAATAAAATTCACAAAACTACCTAAGAACATGAAAGTGGCCTAGCAGTCAACGAAATCGGTGAAAATTATGGGAGATATACGAAAACCAAATAAAATTCACAAATTACCTAATTGACATCGATGAAGTCGGCCAAAATTATGGAAGATCAAGAAAAAACAAATAAAATTCTCGAACTACCTTAACATGAAGTGGCCTAGAAGTCGGTGAAATGAGTGAAAATTATAAGAGATTAAAGTTCAAATTCCAAAAGATACAAACAAAAAAAAACTAGGTGGTTAAATCTCATTTGTCTAAGCTTTGGTGGCCAGAATTATTAAGTATTTGCGCTATTGGAAGATAGCAAGTATTTGGTGAAATAGTCAAGTTACATAAACTGATCCGGAAATCACCACAACAACGACAACAACAACAAACTCAGTCCACAAGTGGGGTCTGGGGAGGGTAATGTGTACGCATATTTTACTCCTATCTTGTGAAGGTAGAAAAACTGTTTCCGATAGACCTTCGGCTCAAGGTGATTCGGACACCACAAAAAAAAAAAAAGGG